ATCTTGGTCCTGGGGCCCTTTCCAGTGCCTTGCTTGTGGGGGTCACTCCCAGGGGTTCCTGAAGGAGCAGATGGTGCTGGGAATAAGGGAATAATAGATCCTGGCACTTTGTTTTCTATGCATGTTGTCATTCCCATTTTTACAGGCCGAGAAACTGAGGTGTGGAGAAGGGGCTGTGCACCCAGCCACAGCGGAGTTGCAGTCTGAGCACTCATTGGCCGGACTGGAGTTTCTCCTAGTTATCACAAGACTTCCTAGTTGTCACGAGACTTTCTCCACAGCTCCTACCCCTTCTCTCTCCCCACCACCCCCAGGGCACCCAGGCCCAGGGGAGTCATCCTGTCCACTTCCCCGCTTCTGTTGGGGTGCAGGGAAGCCTCCTGTGTTCTGTGGAGCGCATATGGGCAGAGTTCCGGGGACAGGGAGGGTGGCATAGCCGGGTACTTAAAGGTGTCAGCTGCTGCTGCTGCTTCGTTTTGAGCAAAGACTTTGAGAGTTTAATGTGATAATCTCAAGCTAATTACAGCAAATGGAGGCCCTTGGGCTTGTCCAAAAACAATTATCACAGGCGGAGCCGGGAGGCAGGACAGTGTCCTTCTGGCCACCCGACCTGGGGCCTCCAGCAGGCTGGGAAGGGCCAAGTCTTAGCTTTCTGTTAGTTTTTATTATTTTTCGTTAATTTTATTTTACTTGTTAATTGTTTTGGGGGGGCCACACCAGGCAGTATTCAGGAATAACTCTTGGCAAGGTTCAAGGGACCATGTAGGATGCTGGGGATACAGCCTGGGTTAGCTCCATGCAAGGCGAGCATCTTAACTGCTATACAGTCTCTCTGGCCTGTGGTTTTCATTTTTATTATCTCAGGGTTTACTCCTGGCTCTGTGCTTAAGGGTCACTCCTGGCAGTGTTTAGTGTTTAGGGGACTATAGTGGGTGCCAGGGATTTGAGCACCTTTACCTCTGCACTGTTTCTCTGTCCCCTAGTTTTTAATTTCAGAGGGGCTACACTAATGGTTCTTTGGGTGTCATACAGTGCTGGGAATTGAACTTAGGACCTTGCACATGCTGGGTGTGTGCTCTACCACTTGTGCTATCTCCCAGCTCTTCCTTGCTTTATAACCAGGGGACCCAGTGGTGCTCAGGGGACCACGCAGGGGATCCAGTCAGTACCGGGGATTGAACTCCAGGGTTCCCACATGCAAAGCACATGCTCCAATCCTTTGAGCCATCCTTGGCCACCATCCTTCCTTCCTTCTTTCCTTTTCTTCCCTTCCCCTTCCTTCCTTCTTTCCTTCCTTCCATCCTTCCTTCCTTCTTTCCTTCCTTCCTTCCTTCCTTCCTCTCTTTCTCTTTTGTCTTTTTTTCTTCTTCTCTTTCTTGTGGAAAGAAGGCATTTGTTCTTTTCTCTCTCATTTCTTTTTTTGAGGGAGGGGCATCACACTAGGCAGCTCTCAGGACTGACTCTTGCTCTGTGCTCAGGGATCACTTCTGGCAGGGTTCAGGGGCCCATATGGGGTGCCAGCAATCAAAACTGCGTCGGCCGAGTGCAAAGCAAGTGTACTGCCCACTGATCTCCTGGCTCCCTTCTTTCTCCTCTTTTCTTTGAAAGTAAACCATGGTAGGGACTCCCCACTTAAAGACCTGGACCGTAGGGCCCGCATCCTCCCCGCTGACATCTGAGAATATTCTGTTCTGTGAGGGGATATGGCGAGACTGGCCAGAAGGGGCCTCAGAAATCAAACCAGCATTTTCCTGGCCGGAGAACTGAGACCCAGCTCTGATGCTTCATATCCTCCCTGCCCAGAAGGAAACCAATTAGCACCGTGTCTGCTTCTGCGTTCCCAGCGCCTGCCTCATTATTTGGGGATTTATGTCCCTCTCGGTCACCGTGAAGGACAACTGTCCAGCCTTGCAGTCAGGGAGGGCAGCCCGGCCCGGCCCTGAAGGCCAGTCGTGGCAGGAGGTGGTGCCACCCTGCTCGGGGCAGGATGGGGATTTGATTTCAGGGGGATTTGCAACCAGTGGGGAGCCGCCCTGGACACATGGTGGCTCAGGGCTATTTTCGGAGGCAAAAGGCTGGCCCCGAGGGGGGAGGGATCTGGAGGGCTCATTGTAGCCCTTCGTGGGTCTCCCCTCTGCTGGGGAGGGCACCGCGCCGCCATGGTTCCATCCCCCCGAGGTTGGGGATTCTCCAACGTCCTGGATCCCTGGGGCTCCAAATCCCACAGCCCCTGCCGTCGAGGCTGGCCTCAAGAGAAGGAAGCTTCCAGCTGGGCAGGGGTCCATGGCCCTTCGCCTGGGCCCCTTGAGTCCAGGCCTTGTTCCCGGGTCCTGGTGTGATTCAGGTGAGCGGTTAGTCACTGCCTCTAATTTTGTTTTTGTTTTGGGGTCACACCTGGCAGTGCTCAGGGCTTCTTCCTGGCTCTGCACTTAGGAGTCACTCTGGGAGGTGCTCGGGGGACCACTGGGAGGCCGGGAATTGAACCCAGGATGGGCGTGTGCAAGGCAGTGCCTTTACCGCTGGACTATTGCTCGGGCTGTCTCCAGTCTCGGCGGGGGAGCTTCTGGTTACTGAGCAGTCAGGAAGGTGCTGTGGCCAGCATAAGGCCCAGCCTGAAGGCGGGCTGCACCGGCTTCTGTTCTGGGGGACAGAAGGGAGAAGCCCTTCCACACTGCTGAGGGGTGAGTTGTCTGAATCTCTCTACCCCTCTGAGACTCAGTGCCCCTGCCTTGACAGTGGGGACCCCCATGCCTCAGTAATCATGTCCATGAGCCAAATTTTCTGCAGAGATGAGTTTCCATCACCCTCTGCCATGTGGGTCATTAGTGAATTGCCTCACTGTTCTCCAGACAAGAAGACTGAAGTTCAGAGAGGGCGAGTCACTGGCCTCAGCTCACACAGCCAGGCAAAGGTACTCGATCCATGCCTTGCACCTACAGTCAAGCTGGCTCAACACCCCCAATCCGGCGTGTGGATTAGTTGATGCTGGTGTGTCAGGCTCCATTCAGGACCAGGGATTCAGGCCATGACAGGGTGAGGCCGGGCAGCGGCGAGGACTGAGCTGCTGGGCTAGTCTCTGAGGCTTTATTTAGCCCGAGAGTCATTGTCTGTTGGGGGTGGGGCGGGAGGGGGCAGGGCCTGAGTCCTTTGTGGGAGGAGTTGGGTTGGGGGGGTCCCAGCTGGCATGCCAGCTCTGTTCCCAGCAAGAGGTGGTGGTTCCCTTCCTCCACACCCACCTTGACAAGCAAAATATTCCTGACATTGGGGGCTGGAGAAATAGTCCAGTGGGGAGGGAGGGCACTTGCCTTGCAGGCCGCCCATTCAAGTTTGACCTCCAGCACCCCATATGGTCCCTGAGCACAGAGCCAGGAGTAACCCCTGAGCATCATGGGATGTTCCCTCTTTATCCCCCGCCAAAAAACAAAATCAACCAAAACCGTCTGTGGCATCTTGGGATTGGCTTTTAGAAGCTTGTGAACTGGAATTGAAGGAAAGTTTGGAATCAGCCAGATGGGGGACCACCCCACCCCGTTCTCCAAGGCTAGGGAGAGCCCTCAAAGGGTTGGAGCACGTGCTCTGTATGTGGAGGCCCTGCACTCGATCCCTGGCAGGGCCTGGTTTTCCCGCCACAAGGAAGGCCCCTCTACCTCCAAAATTAAAATTAGAAGGGGGCCAGAGACAGAAGGGCCCTTGAGTTGTATGTGTGAGGCCCTGGGTTCATCACCAGCACCTCAAAAAAAAAAAGAACAAAAGGAAAAAGAAATTCACTCTCTCCCCCTTTCCACTTGCGTGACCTCAGGCAGATGAAAAAGCCTCTTGGGATTACTGGGGGGATTAAATGAATTGAGAGAGGTGGGGGTGGCTGGGGTACAGATGGCCCACAGCTGAGGGAGGCTTTTGTCTGGCATTTTGGGGCATGTTATTTCTAGGTAGCTAGGTGAAGCCACGTCCCGGGGTGGCATAAGCTGGCACCTGTGTCCTGCTGAATGATCTCGGGAGAGCCAGTGAGTGTCAACAGACGGTCTGGTGCTTGCAGTTCTAATCACTCTCTTGGGGACCAAAGGCGAAGGCCCAGCCTGTGAGCAGTTTACAGGGAAGCAGGACTGGGGGCTGCCCAGACCCTCAGCTCTCCACAGAGCTCATTCAGCACCGGTTAAGCAGTGGGTAGCATTAATAGAGGTCAGGATGAGGAGAGCCGAGGAGGTGACTTTCCCCCTGGTTCTGTTCTCAGGGAGATCTTGAGAGCCAGAGTTTGTTGAGGAGGTTGGGGCCGCGATAATGAGATGCTTAAAGATGAAGGTTACAACGTAGTTCAGGCCAGGTGGTCACGGTACAAAGAGTGAGGAAGAAGCACATGAATCAAAGGCCCAGAAAGTCCCCACTCTGAGCAGAGGTGACCAGGGCAGGGTTTGGGGGAGAAGAAGAATGTTGGGAACCCATGTATGTTGTCTGGGAAGCAGGCAGGAGTTGCTTCCTGGAGGAGGTGATTTAGTGGGGAGAAGAGATCTCTGTGAAGGAAGTGGCCCTGCCCAGTGAGATGGTCCTGCAAAGTGGTGGGCACCAAACCTGGACCTTACAGGGAAGCTCCGTACTGCGCACCCCCCACTCCATTCACAAGCTGTGGATTACTGAGACCCGGATGGAATGTGCCCCCGGGAGGCGGTCAGCGCCCCATCCTCGGTATGTCAGAGCAGCGGCCAGAGGGCAACTGTCAGGGCGGGATGACTTCCAAGATCCCTTCCTGGCCCGGAGCAACTGCCACTCTCCACGGACAGACAGACACGGGGTGTGCACCGAGAGGGAGAGAGGGGTGCGGGGGCCAGCTTGGAGGGCGGGCACACTGCAGCATGGAGAGGCAGGCCTGGCTCTTGGTCACAGGCGTCCCCTCCCCCGGGGCCACTGGCGTTTCCAGCACCGTGCGCCAGCACCATATCCATACCGCGCACGCACCTGCAGCCCGCGGCTGACCAGGGTGTCGTTTCTGGCGGATCTACTTTTAGAATGGACCCGGACGCGCCCGTGCCTTCAGCAGCGACTCACTGAGTGTCCCGGAGACAAAGCTGCCCGCTCCGGGCTGGTCCCTGGAGCACCCACGAGGCCCAGCCCACATGGGGGAGACAGGTGAGTAGCCAGGTGGGGAGATGTACTCAGCAGGAGAGAGTCACCAGGGGGCTGGGACAAAGAGGAACAGGGGCGGGGGAAAGGGACTGGCGAGGTGACATTGGCGCAGAGGCCAAAGTGACAAGGAAAGAAGGCCGTGAAGGTCAGGGAGCGGCGAGGAGCAAGGGCTGGAGAGGAGCTGGGGGAGGGCTGGGGGAAGTGCTGCGGCATTGGGTGGCAGGCCAGGGCCCAGCCACGGTGGGCGAGGCAGTGCCAGGGTGCCAGGGCCGGGGACACCTGTGCCATAGAAAGCCTGCGCAGAAAGGGAACGGGAGGTGGGGGAGCACCTTCGGGCATCTTCTCCAGATGCGTGAGCCATTCTGCGCCTCCCCACCCACCCTGTACCAAGCCACGGAATAATGGCCGGGCATTCCCAGGAGGTCGCATGCTCTGCCCCTGTCTCCAGCCCAGCTCCGCTTGGCTTCATGCCACCCACTCCCATCTACCACCGCCAAGGGCCCCTCCCCCCATCGACCAGACCCTGCGAGGAATCAGAGGTGGCCCCCCACTTTCCTTGCAGGCCCCCCCAAGTCTCCCAAGCAGGTGCCCTTACGGCTCCCCTGACTGGCAGAATGGTCCCTTGGAGCTGGGGGCTCACTTCCTGTGTCCCCAGTCTTTCATTTCCTGCTCTGTAAAGTGGAGTGCACACCCTTCCCGGCAGGGTGGGGTGGACCAAATGTGACCTCTCCTGGCACCTACTGGACACTCCCTGACTCTCAGCTTCCTCCTCCATCCTGAGCTTCGGTCCCAAAGAGGGGCTGATTTGTAAGGGGTGGAGGTCATTTGGGGATGCTCTGTCCCCAGCTCTAGGAGCCCTGGGAGCTCACAGGCCCTCAAACCTGGTGGCAGATGGGGGGATGATACTCACGGCTCGGCCAGCCCCACTGCCTGCCGGCTGCTGCTCCTCTGGCCAGCGCACCCCTGGCACCTGCCCTGCCCGGCCACCGCCCAGGGGCGGGCTCTGCAGACAGGCTGCCTGGATGGGCCCATGTGCCCAGGTCAACCCGTCCGGCTGCTGGAGGCTGGGGGAGCCCCGCTCCCTCCCGCACGAGCAACTTCCAGGTAGGCATGGATGACCGTACTGTGCCCCCAACCCAACCCCAATGCCGAGGCATCATGGGGGTGGCCCCGTGGGCTGTGAGCAGCGCTAAGACTCTCCTCTGCTGGTGTAGAGGAGACACGAGCTCTAACTTCCTGATACAGCCCAGCCAGCCCCCCTCAGCGGCTGTGGGACAGGGTACAGTGGAGGGGTGCACAGAGCTCACCAGCCAGACCTGGACCACCCAAACACAGATCTTGGCCTTCCCAGCAGCCCTCCCAGCCCTCCAGCCCCTCCCCACAGCTGGCAGGACTCACCCCCAAACCCGGTCTGTGTCTTAGAAGTGCCGATGGAGGAGCCTCTGGGGCAGGGCTGGGGCTTGGGGTTGGGGGAGTGGATGCAGCTGAAACCCTCAGTAGGGAATCCCAGGTTTGGGGGTGGCAGAGGAATGGGGGTGCCCTGCCCAGTCAAAGTAGAAAAGGTGTACCAAGGCCACCCATGCTTGGAGGCAGCTTCTTTGTGCTGTTGCTGAGGACCCTAGGAGGCTAACGGGGCACTGGTGGGAGTGTCATTACCCCAAAGAAGCACCTCTGGGTTGGGTGTGTTCAGAAAAGTGTCCTCGGGGCACCTCCTCCATCAGGGGTGAGAAGAGAGCAGACTAGGGGGTGGGCAGTGGGAGCAGGTGACCACTCCCCTGAATTTCCCCCACCCCCAGGACCATCTCTCCTTCCCTGGGGCTCAAATGTGACTTTCAGACTTAGGGGCCCCTCACTCCGGACACGCCCAGCACCCAGAGGTCCCCAGGGAAGGGAACGGAACTGTCTTCTTCCATCCCCTCATGAGGGGACATCAGACCACTTTGGTGTATCCCAGAACTTCCTGGGGAGGGGCAGATCTCCAAATCTAGCCCAGATTAGGATGGGGATCCCCAAGCCCTGTCTCCACTGCCCCCAAATCAGGCCTGTAAGAGGACAGCCCCAGCCGCCTGCCTCTCAGCCACTCTGCACACCCCAGTTTCCTCCTTGAAGGCTCACAGCATCATACTAAGGCTGAGGGGAGCCTCCAAAGGCCGTGGGCACCCCCCAGGCAGTTCTCTCCACCCCCACCCACCTTTCCCAGGCCATGGAAATAATATGGCTAATCTCCTCCCAGCCACCAGCTGAGAGGCGGCTGCCCCCAACCCTGCAGTCACCACAAGGAGCTTCGAGGGAGTCAAGAGCCCTTCCCGGACCAGACTCCCTAAAGATGGGGCGCGAGAGTCCAGGGATGGGCCCGAGGCTGGCAGGACCCCAGGTCCCTTCTGTGGGTCAGGGCCCTGGGCCTTATAGGGTGCAGTGGGCGTTGGTGTGGACAGACATGGGGAAGATGCTCATGAAGGATTTGGTGAAGAGCCCCTCAGGCCAGGCCAAAGACTCAGGCAGGCCCAGAACTTTCTTCTCCTGTGAACCTTTTGGCAAAAGCAGCACCTTCCTGAGAGCCCCTCCCCAGAGCTGCGTCTAAGATGCCGCCCATTGGGAACCCCTTAATCCCCAAAGCCTGTTCCCACAAGTGTTGGGGAAAGGCAGGCCCCCGCAAGTCCTGAGCACCCCACTAACACCCAGGGCTGGGAGGACCATTCGTGGCTCAGCGAGCAGTGATGGAACTGGGGCCCAGGGCCAGAGGGTCCCTCCATGCCCCCCATCCCAGCTCTTCCCCAGCTCCCTGTGGTGGGACACCAGGAAGACAGCCAGCCTGGCCTCCAGAAGCCCCCCCAGATCCCCCAGATGCCTGGGTCGAGCCTTGAGGCTGTGGGGGACAGCCCCCTCCTGCATGCTTCCCTCGGCTTCCTGTCCTCACCCAAGGTTCAGTCTGGTTCCCTGCCTTCACACCCCTTCCTCCTGGCCTCTGATTCGGGCCCCCATTCCCCCTGCCTGCGGCCCGACTCCTCCCTGCCTGGCACCCCCAGGAGAGGAGGCTCAGCCTCTGTAACCCCTACCCTACCCAGTGGTTCAGCTCTCAGGGCCTCTCAGGACGGGGCAGCAGAGAGAAGGACCTGGGCTCCAATGTCAGACAAGCAACCACTTCGGTCCCGCCACAAAAACTCTCCAAGTTTGGGCTCTAATCCCTGGTCGGACTGGAGGTTAATAATAGTGCCCACCTCATGCACGCGGTGAGCTCATGCAGGAACGGGCTTTCAGTATCGAGAAGTGGTGGCCTGGGCAGCTGATGAGTATGGGGGGGAGGCGGGGCCGGAGGGGGGGAGGGGAAGCTTCTAGAAGCAGCTCTTGCCCCTTGTGCTCGGAAGCCTGGCTCTGGGTTCCCGCTGTGGTCAGAGACCGCGTGAGACCTGGGTCTGTCCAGGAGTGGTCCGGGCGGGCGCACGTGAGTCATGCTGGTTCCGGACAGGGGCCGGTGAGGAGGCGCTGACCAGCTGCTGCTGAGCTGGGGACCTTCAGCTTTGTCTGTCCCTCCTGAGTTCTCTGGCCCGGAGGCCGGGTTTCACCGGAGCCGTGGGTCCTGAGGGAACAGCTGGTCGGGCTGGCTCAGGCAGCGCAGGTCACAGCAGGCCCAGCAGCCAGGCTGGGGGGACACAATTAGCCCCGGAATCCAGGCGGGCCTGGGAGCCTGCAGGCTGTATATCACGGAGCTTTAATAGGCCCCTGGCAGATACTTGTCTGCTCTCTCAAGTCACCTCCCCAGCCTGCATGTCATAAATTGCGCCGAGGTTTCAAAATCTCCTGCCCCCCTGCAGGGCGGAGTTTAGGTGCGCTCCTTGGCACGTCAGGAAAAGCTTCATTCCCTGAGACCTCTCCCCCAGAAAATTGGACCCTAGTGACCTCTTCCCTCACTCTGCCTCCTGCTGGGAGCCGAAGGGGGTGTATATTGCAAGGTGCTGGGGCTGTAACTTGGGAGCGGGGCCTTCTGAGTTGTTGGGGTTCCCCAGTGTAAGCCCTGGATCCCCAGAGATCGTGCCCAGGAGCCCAGCGAGTATTGAAAGGGGTGACCAAGTTTCTGTGCCACACCCCACCCCCGCAAGTGTGGAGGGGTGGGTAAAGCCCACCCCAGCAGAAAGGGGTTTCCCTGCTTCCCTTCCTGTTTTACTCATGGCGCCACCTGGAGTCCATTGCTGGTACTGACCTCAAACCTCCCAACTCTGGCTGGGTCAAGGACCGGACCTTAAAATCACCTAGGGGGGCCGAGGGGCCGATCCTCAGTGTGTTCATTTTCGGGGACCCATGCAACAGAGATCCAGAGATTCGTTGTCTCCTCACTTCTGGAGGCTAGAAGTGCAAGACTTGCATTGGGACTGGCTGGGCTCCTTGGGCTGCCCTGACCCCTGCAGTGCTCAGGGTGGGGTTCATGTTGGATTCGTGGCCCACCTCCTCCCGGCTGATCCCCTTTTTCCTGGTGACATCTGCAAGCCCCTCTGTGTCCTCGTGAGCCTGCCACATGAGGGACTGGGGCTCAGAGGATTTGAGAGGGGACACAGTTCATTACATAAGGCTGTCTCAGATTCTCATGGTCATCCAACCCCAGAGATACGCACAGCCCTGGGGCACCCATGTCTCCTCGACAAGGGAGGCAAGTGGCTAATAGACAGTTGCAGCAGTGACCCACGAACATCATGACAGACACAGACTTGCTGAGTCTTCGCACGGAGACATGTGGACATGTGGAAGTTCATAAATTCATAGCCACTGACCCCAGGCTGTGGAGACGAGATACGGCTGGAGCACGCATTTTGATGCGGGAGGCTCAGAATCCCTCCCTGGCACCTCAGGGTCCCCTGTGCATTGATGATGATGATGGTGATGGTGATGATGACGATGACTGACATTCACAGGACACAGGAAGGTATTTGTAGTATTCAGCTCCTCCGTGTGCTTATGACTCAGACAACATTACATTTTACCCCATTTTACAAATGTACCAGTGAGGTTCAGATCAAGCCTCTTACTGGCACAGGTGGGACCCCACCCAGCTATGACTGAGTCACTGTCCCCATTCCTGGGAGGATCCCACTCTTGTCACCCTGACTTAATAAAGACCCTCTTGCCCCAAACAGTCACAGTCTGAGTGCTGGGAGTTCAACATTGTGTGTGTGTGTGTGTGTGTGTGTTATGTGTGGTGTATGTATGTACATATTTCAACTCATACAAGAGAAAGAACCTTAGTCACGCCTCCTGCTAATCCTTGTCTTAGGGCTCCCTCAGTCTGAAGGACAGCCCTGACCTTAGGAGCTGTATTCTGGTGAGGGGGTACATAGGCCTCACTGTCAGGGAGCCCCCAATCCTGATACAGAGACAGGAAGTATATACCCAGGTTCAGGAAGAAAGTGAAAGTGGACACAGTTCAGACAAAGAGGGAGTGAGGTGGGGGCACGGGAATCTCAGGAAAGTGAGTTGGAAAGGAGGTGATGTCTTTCTCCAAGGACCAGGACGTGTGTGTGTGTGTGTGTGTGTGTGCATGTGAATTTGAGTGCGAGTGTGTGCATGAGCGCATGTGTGAGTGTGAATGTGTATGTGTGTATGAATGAATGTATGAGTACAAGTGTGTGAATGTGTGAGTATAAATATGAGTGAATGAGTGAATTTGAGTATTAGTATGAGTGAATGTGTGTATGAATGTGAGTGGGAGTGAATGTGTGTGAGTGACTGTGTGTGTGTATGTGTGAGTGTGAACATGTCCAAGTGAGTGTGTGTGTACATGTAAACAGCACACAAGGCCACATCTCCCACACCTCATGATGCCAACTGTTGCTGTGGTCTTGGTGGCCGAGTCATTCAGGGGGAGGGGCACTACGCCTCACATGTTACCACGTGTGTGGGTGTTGCCAGCCAGGCACTGCGCATGGGGGTTGGGGTTTCCTTTCCTCTCGCCCTGTTCTGTCCAAGGAGCTGTGCCTTCCCGAAGTGGACTGACCCGAGCTCAGGCCTCACAGGGTGTGTATGACTCCACTTACCTGATGGCTCCCGCTCCCTGGGGGGCCCCAGTCTCCCTCTCCGAATGTTGCTTGATCATCTGCCTCCCAGAATGCAGACAGCTGGGACATCTCCCCTGTCTTCCCCCCATGTGGTTCCAAAGACCTCCCCCCAACGTGCTCCCCGGAAGCTGGTATCTCGGGTCCTTGTTCCTTCTGTGTTTCTCCACACTCAGCTGTCGTTTGTTGGGCTCCCTCTCTCTGTGTGCCCAGGTATGAAGCGACCACTGAGCCCCTCTGCCCTGGCCGAGACAGAGACCCCCACATCTGGAGCTGCGGAGTGCCCGCCTGAGCCCCCAGAACCGAAGCCCAAGCGGGAACGGAAGAGGCCATCGTACACGCTGTGTGACGTGTGCAATATCCAGCTTAACTCGGAGGCGCAGGCGCAGGTGCACTGCGGGGGCCGGGCACACCAGCGGCGGCTGCGGCAGCTCAGCCTGGGCAAGCCTTCCGCAGGGCCAGGTCAGTGGTCAGAGCTGGGAGGCAGGTATGCGCTCCCACCAGCCGGGTCTGGGCCCCCCTGTGGTTCTGAAGTTCCCTGGGCGCCCATTTTATTGTTGTTGTGGTTTTGGTTTGGGGGGCCACACTTGGCAGTGCTCGGGATTTACTCTCTGAGCTCAGGGATCACTCCTGGTGGGCTCGGGGGACTGTATGGGGTGCCGGGGATCAAACTCAGGTCAGCCACACGCAAGGCAAGCGCCCTAGCTGTTGTACTGTCTCTGACCCCTGGAAGCCCATTTTGCTTGGCATATGGACACCCCACCCACTCACCCCACTCCTGTCTCAGTAAGCTCTGAAGGAATCGGAGGGACTTGAAGGTCTGAAACACCTCTTGAGGATTCTGGAGTCCGGGGCTCTCCCTAAGAGAACTTCTGGGACCAAGACCCCTAAGCAACCTTTTTATTTGCCCAGGGGGTCTTCCAGACAAGAACGCCGTATACGGAGTGTCCCAGCACCCACCAGGACTAGGGGGGGCTGGACAGGCATCTCCATCCTGCTGGGCTCCTGGCTGGGATCTCTCCTCTCCCGACTGGGGTGACCATGTGGGGCTCTCTGCCAGCACCATGCACTGTGTGGGCAGCTGCTGCCAGGGCTGATTCCTGGCAGAAAATGGGCGAATGCATCTGTGAGGGTGATGCCAGCTGACATGGGGGCTGCAGGGGAGAGCCGGAGGCAGAGCGTAGGATGGCAGGGACATTTACTCAGAGCCAGGTCCTGTGTGGGGAGGCAGGTGGGTTGGGGTTGGGGTGGGCACTTGGGCCTGGCTTTGGGGAGATGTGGCGGGCCTGGGCCCTGCAAGAGCAGAGGCAGGGAATGCTCTGCTTACATGGTGCGTGTGTGTGTGTGTGTGTGTGTGTGTGTGTGTGATTTAAAGAAGCACTTGTGAATTCATCTAATACTTACAGACCACCTGTATGTACAAGCTGTCGTTTTAATTATTTATTGCTATTATTATTTTATGCCATGTATGCCCACTGTTGTGGGGACACACCGAGTGCTTGGGTGCTTGGGGTGGGGGTGGGCGTGCAGACGGTGCCAGGGCTGGGACCCAGAGTCTCATTCGTGTAAGGCATGTGTTCTACCACTTGAACCTCAGTCCTCTTTGCATTTATTTCCTTCAGCTTTGTTGGGTTGTTGGGACTTTTTTTTTTTCTTTTTTCTTTTTGGGTCACACCTGGCGATGCACAGGGAATTACTGGCTCTGCACTCAGGAATTAATCCTGGTGGTGCTCAGAGGAACCAAATGGGATGCTGGGGATTTAACCCGTGTCAGCCGCATGCAAGGCAAACGCCCTACCTGCTGTACTATCACTCCAGCCCCTGTGGACTTTTATTGAGGGGTGGCTACACCTGTCTGTGCTCAGGGCTACTCCCGACTCTGCATGCAGGAGTCCCTTCTGGCAGACTCAGGGGAACCATAGGGAGAGCCAGGGATCGAACCCAGATTGGCTACGTGCAAGGCAAATGCCTCACACACTGTACTATCTCCCAGGCCCCTTTGTTGGGCTATTATTGGTGCTGAGTATGGATATGGCATCCAGTGTGATAATCAGCGATAGAAATGTACTGCAAAGAAATGAGCAAGGGAGAGCCAGTTAACACTTCTATCCCCGCACAGAGCTAGGATTAGTTATCACAAGCTGCCATTTTAGTTTTTATTGCCATTATTTTATGTCGTTTTCTATTATAGGGGCACACCAAGAAGGCTCGAAGGGGAGGGCGTGCAGGTGGTGGTAAGGCTGGGACCCAGGGCTTCATACATGTAAGGCACATGTTTACAGTTAAATTCTACTCAGGGGACAAATGCAGATTGCAGGCACCTTGCATGTGGCTGACCCCAGAAGGAGCCTTCAGCACCACACCTGGTCCTTTGAGCATTGCCAGGTTATGCCTGAGGCCAGAGCCAGGAATAACTCCTGAGTGCCACCAGTATGACCCAAAGACCAGAAAGAAAAATCTACTCCAAGAACTTTCAAGTAAATGACAGTGTTGCTTATTTTTGTCACGGCCACACCCGCTCCTGGGTCTGACTCAGAGAAGGGTAGTTTGTACCCTGTGTCCTGTCTCCCCTTTGGCCCCGCACCCCGAAACCTCGGAATCCCCTGTCTACAGTTTGGTGTTTCCCCGCTCCCTTGCCAAGGTCGCCAGCATGGCAAGACCCAAGCAATGCCATGTACTGGGGTCCTAGCACTGAACCATCAGGACTCTTAGGCCAGACACTGCTGGGAGCAACCCCCCAGATAGCCCCTTCAGCACCATTTGGGAGGTCCTCCAAGAAGAGAAGGAAGACAGAAGTGAGGAATTAGAAACCAGCTGTCAGAGGGTCCCATCTTCCCTCTCTCGGTGCTCATCCCCCCAATTCTGGGCAGGTCTGGGGTCCCAGGGTCCAGGTCAGCTGCACTCACAGCCAGACTGTGGAATGGGACGTGGGCACTGTGGTTGCTGTCATCTGCTCTCAGGACCCTGGCACTGAGTCCTGCCCATGCCTATGTCCAGGGGCTCAGCCTAGGGGCCTGGCCAGTGGACGCAGCGGGCAGCACTTGGGAGCCACTGCCGGGTGTGCGGCGTGGGGGCCAGCCTCTTGGGGCTCTGGGGACCCTGGACTTCAGCTTGAGACCCTGTTTCCCCACAGACCTGGTGAACTCTGCCTCTACTCAGAAGGGCTGTGGAGAGGCAGGGGCCCCCGTGTGAGGGTCTCCAGGAGGGACCTGCCCCAAAGGGACAGGGAGGGCTTGTGGGTGCTGCTGACAGTGGGGAGCCACATCCTCTTCCCCAGAGGCTTGGGGGGTGTGGGGTGCCCTTAGCTGGTTGGGAGTGGGACTGCAGGGCCCAGTCCTGCCTTTGGCTCCCTCTCCAGAGCCCTCTGGAGCTGCCGCTTTGATTAAAGACTGTGGGCTGGCTGCTTGGCAGGGACTCCAAGGGAGGAGATGGGGATTCATCCCTCTTCGAGCAGGAATCCTCACCCTGGGGTCAGCGGCTCCTTACTTAGCACCCCCCAGTCGCTGTTCCTTGGACATGGCAGGGAGGGAATGGGGGCGGGGAGACAGGTCCTGAACCCTGCCCTGGGGAGACCCCATGACCTGGTGGGGACCAACCTCACCCCAGTGACTGAGGACTCAGGTGGCTTCTGGACCATCTGCAGGAAGTGAGGGTGGCTCAGTCTCCCCCTCCAGCCTCAGCAGGGGACAGGTCAGCATAGGGCAGGGCACAGGATTCAGGGCTCAGGGCAGGACCACAGGGCAGGGGCACAGGGCACAGGGCATAGGAAACAGGGCATAGGGCACAGGGTTCAAGATGGGGGTCCTGGGTATAGAGCAGGGCTCAGGGCACATGGCTTTGCTCAGGGGACCATATAGGATTTGGGGTAGCTGTCTGCAAAGCAAATGCCCTCCCTGCTGTGCTATTGCTCCCACCCAGCTTGGGCTTTTAGTACAAGGACGCCTGGGGTGGCACTAGAGGTCCTTGTTCCTCTGGGGCAGGGCATGGGGATCACAGGGACAGGGAGAGGCTGTCCCCGCACCCTGTGCCCAAGGCCCCTGCTAGGCTCAGCTGCATCCCTGACCCGTCCCTCCGTCTCCACTCTAGGCCTGGAGATCAAAGACTGTGCAGGTCACGCCTGAGCCGCCGGCTTGATGAGTGCTGGTACCCCAGCCATCCCCCCCACCCCAGATGGGCCCACTTCAATCCCATCAGGAGACCCCAAAGCCCTGCAGGTGCTCCCCCAGCTCCAATGCCTCCCTGGGCTGCTGGCCCCGCTCAGCACCCCAACTTTCCTGACACTTCGGAGAAGTGCGTGTCCCCCAAGGCCTGACCAGTGCCTCCTGCTGCCAAGGACAGAGGGGAGAAGTCTGTGCCCCTCACCCCCTGACCACAGGCAGCCGCCCCCTCCCAGGGACCACTCTGGGGAGCATGAGGGGGGGTCAGCGGAAGACAAAGCTTCAGTCTGTGTCTGGGCGGGTTAATTAGCTCGGGGCCTGGAGGCTGAGGCTTGAGTTTCCTTCCTCTTCCCCCCTGAGCCTCTTCCTATCAAACCTGTTTTCAGGCCAGGCTGCTGCCAACCCCTCCCCAGCTCTTCTCTCAGGGTTCTGGCTGCTCCCGAGATTACAGGTTATTGTCTGCTGGAGACAGGATGTTGGGGGGGTAGAGGGGGGCAGCACGGGGATGGGGTTGGAATGTGAGACTGGATCCTGGGGGGGGGAGGCCCCCCTTACTCCTCTCCCCCTTCCCATCCCCCTTCGGGTCACCAGGTGCGGTGCAGGAAGGGGAATAGGGGGACAGAGACTTCAGGAAGAGGTGGGGGGGGAGAGGGAACAAACTGGGCTGGGGGGAGGGGCTCAGGTGGTTTCACCCCGTCCCCCTGCACTGCACTGCCCAGGTAATCCTGGCCCAGGCACCAGGAAACACCTCTCGAGCCTCAGTTTCCCCCTTAGCTAAAGGAGGGTGCTGTAATGGAGACTGCCTGGAAACAGCAGGACTGTTCTGGCAAGCAGAGAAGGGGCTCTGGGGCTCCTCCTTGCCTGAGGCTGGGGGTCCCCGGGGCGGGGGTGGGCAGGGCAGGAGAGATCTTCTTTCAGTACAAAAGGCACTAGGCAGGGATTGCGGGGGGGGGGGGGGGGGCCGTGAGAGATGGACACCCCAGTGCAGCCCCTGATGCTCCCTTACACCTTGTCTTTCTGGTGGGTGAGGGGACGTGCCCTGTGCTGTCTGCCTGGCAGGGGGTGGGGGGGGTGGGAGGGTGCGGGGCACAGTAGGCCCCTTCCCAGCAGAGAGGCTGCCTGAGCCGCTCCCCCTCTCCTCCCTCCAGCCCGCCCCCCCTGCCTGCACTCCTCACCCCTTCCTCTGTCACTCAGGCTGCATTTCCTTGTCCTCACTCGGCACTCAGCGCTCAGGGGTGCCTCCAGAGACAGAGAATGCTCTTGGGTGAGTGCTGGGGACCCCGAGCCTCTCCCCTCTTTTTCTTG